TCCACAGGCCGATGAAATAGGAACATAAAGCGATCTGCACTCCAATAGCTTATTTGAAGTGGAAAGGTGACCCCTAATATCACCTTAAAGAGAACCTGTCACCACTACTATGCTATCACATAGGGGACTTGTAAGCCCCCCTATGTGATAGCAATTAAAGTAAAAAAATAAAAAAGGTTTTAAAAAATGAAAATGTATTTAAAAAAACAAAACAAAAATTAAGAGTCCCCCACCCCGCGCGCGTATTATCGTAAACATGTGTTGGGTGCGCCTACATACGAAAACAACGATCGCGCAACACATGTTAGGTATCGTCGCGTGCGCCAGAGTGAGAGCAATAATTCACAGATATCTCTAAACTCATGACCTGTACGGTCCTGACATTTTCTCCTGTCTTGTAGTTGGGTTAAGGGCTCATTCACACCAGATGCACAGGCCTACTAGGTAAGACCTAACACAAACTGCCGTGTGTTTCCTATGAGGTCTGTTCACACCATCATGTTGCAATGGTATGCAGAAAATATTAAATACAGTACATTTTTCACTGCAGTATTTTGAAACAGTATACTGCATTGCAATGTGCTGGGATGACTAGAACAGAATGAAATGTCACTTTGTAACATTGTAATAAAGTTAGAAAAAAAGGTAAACAGTGAGATGCGTGACATTGCGACACTTCCCTAACAACACACTAGCGTCTATGTGCTAGTGAACGCTGCTGGTGTGAATGCAGAATAACTCTTAGTGACTTTTGCCAGTTTTAAAGATCTCCCGGTATGCAAAAAGTGAACTCTTGCAGTGGGGCTACCCCAGCACTGCAAGGGTTAAGTGCTCGTTATAGTCTAGGAGCCACTATAAAGAAGATATACTCCACTGACCGCTCACCTCCAGTTATGGTATATCCCTCGGCATCCTCATGCCTCATACAAGTGATCGTATTAGATGTGATGATGTCAGCAGGTCTGGGGGAGAAGAGGCTGCAGGGACCAGTTTAGCAGCCAGGTGGTACAGAGGATTGGGTGAGTGTATGTCTTTTATTTGAGAAAAACAAGGAGTTAACCCTTGCACTGAGGGGGTAGCCCCATTGCAAGCATTAATGTGTTACATTTCTGGAGTCTCTCTATAAGTTCTTATTATTAGGGATTAGACAGGTGCGATTCGTTTCATTCCCATCAAAATTCATACGAATTTTCCGAAATTCAGACACGTCTGAATTTCCGAATCCCAATGTGTCCGAATTCGAATATCCGTTTACGAATTTTGGATCCCGTCCGAAATTCATTCAAAAACGAAACTGAATCGGACATGTGACTTTTCTGGCCAATCAGCTGTGTTTTTCGGTTTAATGCATCTGAATGGGTCTGAACAAGATTTTCCGTTACGGCAACATGGGAGGGAGTCATATACTGTATACATACATATATATAAAGAAGGGATATTCAGATGCCAAGTACAGTACTCGGTACAAGTATAGGTGCAGATACTTTTCCAGCTCTAAGACTAGACTAGAGAAAAACTCAAAAGTTAGGAGGCGGCTGTCATTTGTAAGGAGCACACGGAGCTCCTGGGATGTGTACATCTCTGTTTTAATGTATGATTTTGTTTTTATAAATATAAATAAAGGGATGCACCGATACCAGTTTTGTGAGTACGAGTACTGGTACTTGCCGAGTACTTACAAGTACGAGTACTGATACATTTTTGTTTATTGTCATGTGACAGTTTTTCTAAAACAATACAGACTAATGATTTCAGGACAGTGGTGGAGTGCCAGAGCCAGGTCCCAGCTGCAACCACTGCAACCCCGGTAGGTCTCATGAAAATGGCAAGTATCGGCATTGGTACTCGAAAAGTATTGGTGCATCCCTAAAATTGTAAAACTAAAGCTGAATCTCCTAGACCTGAATGCCAAATATCCAAACTGAACCGCATTTTTCCACAGCTTACATATCTATTAGGGATGCACCAATACCGGTTTTACGGTATTGAGTACGAGTACCAATATTTATCTTTCGGTACTCACCCATACTGAATACGGATACTGGTACTTCCAGGGGCATGGAACTGTGTTCCCTGCCAATCAGGAAGCTGGGAGGCGGGTCATTACCCTCCATGCTGTTTGGCCGGCTTGATGCTGATTGGCTGGGAAGCCGTCTTCCCGGCCAGTCAGCATCGAGGTGACCAAAGAGCATTGAGCCGGCTTCCCCCCAGGAAGCCGGGCAGCGAGTCATTACCTGCCGCCCGGCGTACTGATTGGCAGGGAAGCTGGCCCCATGTTCCCTCGCAGCACTGATGGTCAGAGGAAATCTCCCTCTGACCGGAAGTTACGGTATCTGGATAAGTATTGGATCATTTGGGCGAGTACGTGTACTAGCCCAAATACTAGGTATCGGCACTGATACCGGTACTAGTATCAGTGCATCCCTACTTTTAATTGTCCATTTTGTTTAAATTACATTTTAATATTAGCGATTAAGAAACATGGAGCAGCTCTACCCTCTTGTCTCCAATCCCGCTGCTAGAACCTCTGTGCCTGGTAAAGCTTCCTCCAGAGCCTACACCAGGGGTAGCCAAGCTCCGGCCCTCCAGCTGTGGTAGAACTACAAATGCCATGAGGCATTGCAAGATTCTCACAGCTACAGACATGACTCCTGGAGAGAGATGCATCATGGGATTTATAGTTTCACCACAGCTGGAGGGCTGGAGTTTGGCTGCCCCTGGCCTACACTAAGCAATAGGTAAAAACCGGCACTCGTAAAGGGATCCGTCCATCCAATACTTTATTTGCAAAAAGGCATAAATCAGCAAACAAACGCTTACATGTTTAAGCCCCCAAACTGGGCCTTAGTCGTAGTTAAGCTTGAAGTCACTACATCGGCCCGAGTCTCTAAATATGTTAAAATGTGGTAACCTCGGATAGACAAATATCTTCCAACTGTCTTTGACCTATCTCTTGTGGTGCCCAGACCAGGCCTCCCTCACACACAAGCACCACAGGTCCAGTATTGGTTCATCCTTGGGATCCCCACCTTCCTCCGTCCTTCCTACCCCGTCCCCCGTTTGTTTATTTTTAGGTTCCATTACATGATTGCACTGGATACTTCGGTTTGCGTATAATAGGACGCAGACTGGAATCGTATTACTATTAAACTTCCATCTTGAACTGTTAGACTGAATATTTTGGTTATGTTTCCTCTGCTGATGCTGTTATCCCGGAATGTGTTCTTTATCCTCATTTTCTCCTTGTATATGGACTTCCTTCTGCTCATAGCTGGATGTGTGCAATGGAATATCTTCCTGTCTTTGGAACCCATGTGTCTGATGTTTATTACAGGCAGTCCCCGGGTTACATACAAGATAGGGACTGTAGGTTTGTACTTAAGTTGAATTTGTATGTAAGTTGGAACATGTACATGTTTTAAGTGCAACTCCAGCCAAAAATGTTTTTTTTTCCAGTTTTGGATAGCATAGGGAAGGGTTTACCCCCGGTAACTGGCCTAAGGCCGGCCCTGCACGTAGGAATGCGCTGAAAAACGCCCTACACCCAAAGAAGTACGAGAGCTTCTTTGGGGCGTATTTGCCGCGCGTATCCGCTAGGGTACAGCCTGATAGCCCTCGGAAACGCGTGTTTCTTTTACCGCAAATTGCCGTAAAAACGCGCTGCAAATGCGCATATTCTGTACGCCCAGGTGTGAACCCAGCCTAAAGGAGTGAATTTCCCTCTCACTTCCTGTTGTCTCAAGGACAGGAAGTGAGATTCAACCTTTCTAATGAGGATACAGACAGCAGTAAAAACCTCACATTGACCCGGAAGAAGAGCTGGGCACCCCTCGTCTGCACATTTAACAAGAGCCAACTTCCTGTAATGTACAAAAAGTACTACGAACCAGACCCAAAAACTCAGGCACTGCTTGTCGGTACGAGCGCGATAGCATTACAACGACTGAAGCATTACAACGACCGAAATGCTGCACGGTACACTTTGGCTGCAGCCTGGGACCCCCTGCTGTACAGTAATAGCCTCCATTTGTAAGTAGGGGTCGTATGTAAGTCGGATGTTTGTAACTCGGGGACTGTCTGCATAGGCTGTTATTCCAGTTTCTCTTTCTTTACAAAACTTACAATTATTAAATAAGGAAACAAAATTCTACTTCCATTCCATTACTTTGCGCTCATTAGTTTGCACGTGTTTATTTGAGTACACGTCTAAATTACAGACTTTTCTATTTTTATTTTACGGAGCTGAACAGTTTACGGATCTTTCTGCGCTGTGTGCATGGGCCCATAGAAAACAATAGAACTGCACTCCATATAAAAACGCAGCGTTCTTTACGGCTGAGTGCACGCGTCCTTAGGATTCTGGAGCTTAGGGCATAGTGAGCTCAGAGGTTCCCTCAGTCACACCATCACCTCCAGCACCAGATAAGCCCCGGCTTCCCCTCCAAGCTCCTTCCCTGTTGCTATGGCTATGACCATTATCCCTGCAACGCAACGCCCATGTGACCTGCTCTATAATGGCTGCTCTGATGGGAGGTATGTAACCGCACACAACTGTTCCGCATGGCGCCTGTTGCTGGCTTTTCCTGACAGGATGGGGTTAGGTGAAGTAACGAATCGATACCGCACGTTGCGAGCCGATACCGCACCTAACGGGGCATGACGGGCGGCCAGGATGAAGCTTTTAATACAACGGCGCGGTAACCTGCATCCCCGCATCCCTTGTCGGTGCGTGCGCGTCCTTCGCTGGCCACTAAGTGGCGCTGCGCGTGTATGGTTTCCAAAGCGCGCGCGCTCTGCCCAGCAGATACTTGTTACACTGTATACGAGGACCCCCCTCCCCCCCCCCCCCCCCCTCACATAGAAAACAGAGGACCTGCACAGCATCAGTTCTGCCGTCATCCTCATCCCCTGGCTTTATATGTGTGCTACAGTGCTGGGTGACAAGGAGTGAAGCCAGGGGATAAGGATGTACGAGGCCCCCCCCCCCCCCCCCCCAGCGGGGGCGTGCACGTCGGCGGGTATCCGCGGGATGCAGGTTTCCGTGTAACACCTGGTCCAGGGCATATCATTCTATCCAGAACATTGTGATCGAGCCCGGCCTGGGCAGCAGCTCCATTCACGCCGATGACAATGACATAAGGGTGGGTATTGCTTTGTTGCTGCTATGATTTGATTGCATGGGTGCAAGTGCCATAGGGAGCATCGATCCGATCCATGGGTGGGAGAGGAAGGGGAGGTATGAAATGGAAGCATAACACTGCCATGACTTTTTTTTGTGTTCAGGAAATAAAGCGTGCACGTAGAAGATGTGCTGTGCCTGGGGTGAGGAAGGAGTGGGCACAGGGCTGGGGTGGCTGGATGCTGAAGGACACTTCATGGATCAGTGCATGACACATTGCCCATTTCCAGGAAGCCTGGCAGGAGTCTCATAGGAAAACTGTGCTCTTTGTCTTCTCACCCATCACATACATATGGATAGCAATGACCAGGATGACATATATCACATACAGCGCAAGGGTTAAGGATCAGTCCATCAACCGTGGCACCCTAAATGCTTGGGAAAAATGACAGATTGATCGCGATTTAAAGAGTAACTCCAGTAATGAAACAGCAAATTCCATCCATCTTTTCTCAGCCATACCTATGTACTTGTATCTGACGTGCACTACAAATAGGGATCGATGTGCCCAGCTCTGCGGAGGTCAGTAGACATGGACTACAAACATTTTCTAGATTACAGCCCTGACTTGTTCATCTAGACAGATGCCTTTGTCTTCCTCATTGGCATTTTATTGTTTGGAAATGAACCGTTAGATGAGATTATTGTACCAGAATGCTCCCCGAGGGACATTACATTATGATTTGTTGTCTGACGGCATGTAATTAGAGTTCATCTGAGCAGACACTGATGGGTTAAAGACATATCTCATATAAATCATGTACATCTGCGTCTGTCTAGGCCCAACCTGGGGCCGCTTTGGTAACGGACTAGATGGAAAAATAAAGTTTTCTTTAAACCGTGCAGAAAATATCATAGGGAGGAATGAAAGCGACAATGGAAAGAAAGCCTGGATCTTGGCCGATCCTTCACTGTGCCGTAGACGTGATGGCATTGGTTGGAGGAGTGTTCCTTAGATGTTGTTGTTGCACCGTCCTGGGCTCTGGAGATACAGGTGATGTGATTGATTCAGATATTGCACGTCATAGATCTTCTTTATGCAGCAATGTCATGTTTCACATATCCGATATCAAATGTGTGTGGACACTAAGATGGAGGAGGCATCAGGAGTAATCTTAGAAAAAACTTTGATACTTCAGGAGGTCAGCAAATGAATCATCGGTGAGGGAATTCATATGTACATTGGGGGGGAATTCATCAAGACTAGACAAAATCTGGAGCGGTTGCCCATAGTAACCAATCAGCATGTATCTTCAGTTTGTTCAGGTAAGCTTTGAAAATAAAAGAGAGAAGCTGATTGGTTGCTATGCACAGCTGCTCCAGTTCTGATGAACGTAAAGAGGGGGATTTACTTAGACTGGAGCAGACAAAATTTGGAGAGGCTTTCCATGGCAACGAATCAACTTCTCATTCATTTTCACAGCTTCACTTAACAAACTGAAAATAGAAGCTGATTGGCTGTGATGTACATCTGCTCCAGATTCTGTCTGCTTCAGTTTTGGTAAATTCCCCTTGAAGGTAACAAACCAGGAAAAGGATTGTTATTGCCAGATAAAGTGACAGTTATTTTTTAGCTGAGATGTTAGGATGACAGTCATGTGGCTGAAATAAAGATCTTTATCCTTGTGTTAAAGTGACACGAAACTCAGGAGTTAAACCTTAAAAATGTATTCAAGCATCTTAACTATTAACATAAATGTATCTTATTTGTGTATCACTGGGCTGTAGATCCTCAGATCATCTCTGAATTGGTGCTGACACTGTCCTTCCTTCTGGAGGGTGACTACTTTTATTCTCCATGGTCTCTGTGTGTGTGTGTTAATGTAGTCACCGCTCCAAGCTCACTCCCGTGATGGACTACAATCTCAATACAAATGAGTAAACTTAACATGAGATTGTAGTCCATCACGGGAGTGAGTTTAAGATGTAACTTCTGAGTTTAGTGTTACTTTAAGCTTTGAAAGTAAAAGAGAGAAGCTTATTGGTTGCCATGCACCGTTGCTCAAGATTTTGTCTGCTTCAGTTTTGATAAACACTAGGGTTGCACAGATACCAAGTACAGTACTCGGTACAAGTACGAGTACAAGTACCGATACTTTTGAGCTCCAAGACTAGACTAGAGAAAAATTCAAAAGTTAGGAGGCAGCTGTCATTTGTAAGGAGCACACGGAGCTCCCGGGATTTGTACATCTCTGTTTTAATGTACGATTTTGTTTTTATAAATATACATGTGAAACTCGAATAATTAGAATATCGTGCAAAAGTAATTGCAGTAATTGCGACAAAAGGGGCCCAAACCAAGTACTGAGTACATATGCATGCTTGTACTTTTCAGAGGTCCGATATTGTTCTATGTACAATCTTTGTTTTAGTGATTGCATGTAATAATCTACTTTTTTGAGGTTGTGGATTTGGGGTTTTCATGAGCTGTAAGCCATAATCATCACAATTATGACAAATCACGGCTTGAATTATCTTGCTTTGCATGTAATGAGTCTATCTCATATATTAGTTTCACCTTTTAAGTTGCATTAGTGAAATAAATGAACTTTGCACGATATTCTAATTATTCGAGTTTCACCTGTAAATACAGGGATGCACAGATACCAGTTTTGCGAGTACGAGTACTGATACTTGCCGAGTACTTACAAGTACGAGTACTGATACATTTTTGTTTATTGTCATGTGACAGTTTTTCTAAAAAAATACAGACTAATGATTTCAGGACAGTGGTGGAGTGCCAGAGCCAGGTCCCAGCTGCAACCGCTGCAACCCTGGTAGTTCTCATGAAAATGTCAAGTATCGGCGCTGGTACTCGAAAAGTATCGGTGCATCCCTAATAAACACAAAGGTAACAAACCCGGAGAAGGATCGTTATTTCCAGATAACGTGACAGTTATTTTTAGCTAATGAGTCCAATGAGATTTTAAAATGACAGTCATCTGGCTGAAATAATGACCCTTATCCTCACGTTAAAGCTTGGTGAATGGAGCCAAAAGCTAGCCATACTAGCCTGCTGAATCAGCCAAAATTCAAACCATAGGTGACCCTGTCAGCACCATCAGTCAATTTTTAAATTGAATATTCTCAAACCAGGTGGAAAACTCTTTGCTATGCCTATCAGATGCAGTCACTTTTCTGGTATTTAGGCAGCTTGAGCAAGAGAAATGTATGGGGTCTAGTTATACACCATTTGTAGAGCCATTGACCCAGTGAATTTTTGTGAATGTTCATTCTGGGTGAATAGATGCATAAAATGAACACACCTGTACATTTGTTTTATAAGCGGAATGTATTTTCTAATGTCATCTTGTAATACCTAATTATGGCCACTAGATTGAGCCGAGGAGCTAATTATTTCATATGCTCTTCAGCTCCATCTAGTGGCCATAGTGCCATGTTACAAGATGACATTTGAAAATACTTTTGGTTTATAAAGAAAATTTACAAGAATGTTCATTTTGTCCATCCTTTCACACAGAGCAGACATGCATTGAGATTTGCAGGGCTAATTGTTTATAAGATTAATAGACCCCTAAGTATGGGTAGCTTAAAGTGACATTAAACCCTCAGATTTTTTAACATAAAACAATACTGTAATGTGTGCCTTACTGTAATCCATGGTTGTTTCCCTTCTCTTTGCTGCTCTTCCTTTTAAATCCTCATGTCTTCTCATGCTTGGGAAGAACTTCCCTTTTCAGCTCAGGGCCTCTTCCTGTAGTTCTGGCTCAGGTTTCAAGCCTATACAAACGTATACACAGACACCGTGTATCCATTCCTGAGACAAGGCAGTCTGCTGCAAAACAGAAGTTCTGCAGAGCATGAGAACAGATACAGATTTAAAAGGAAGAGCAGCAAAGAGAAGGGAAACAACCATGGATTACAGTAAGGCACACATTACAGTATTGTTTTATGTTAAAAAAATCTGAGGGTTTAATGTCACTTTAAGGTGGACCTTTACCCCTTTTGACTAAAAATCACATCAGCACACACCTCTGCATGCTGATATGAAACCATCTCACATTCATCAGCTAAAGAAACATTTTTATTTTACTTACAATTTCTTTTTTTTCCACTTCCTGATCCAGTTTAACACAAATGATGTAATGTGCCCAAGGGTTTGATCCTGGGAGGATTACATCAGCTGAGCATTGCTGGGAAATCTGATCTGTAATCTCATGAGATCTCAGGGAAAGGCACTTTCCTCCCCTGAGATGATGTGCATGGTAACATGTCCTAGTCACATGTGTCAGAGTTCCAGGAAGTAAATGGAGATCTAGTAACCTGCCCTTAGTTAAAATGGCCACTGTCAGAAAACTGGGGATATTTTACAAACTACCGATGTTAGACTGACCGGCCTATAGTTCCCAGGTTGGCACCTAGCCCCCTTTTTGAATATTGGGACTACCGTAGCCCTCCGCCAATCACTGGGGATCCTACCAGTCATTAAGGAGTCCTTAAAAATTAGGATTAATGGTCTAGTTATAACCTGGCTTAATTCCTTAAGTACCTTGGGGTGCAGGTTATCCGGACCCACTGCTTTGTTTGCATTGAGCATTTTAAGTCTTTGTTGTATCCCGGTTTCTGTCAACCACTGGGGTATATTTTGAGTTAAACTGGGAGTTTTATCATGTGTGTCAAACCCGTTTCCCTCCCGAGTGTATACTGAGGAGAAAAAAGCGTTCAGCGCCTCGGCCCTCTCCTTGTCGTTTGTGACTAGCTTCCCGCTTCCATCCTTTATTGGGCCTATCTGCTCCTTTCTCACCTTTTACTGTTAATATAAAGATATGGGAAAAGTTCCTCTTTAAGTCTATGGCTGATGCGGATACATTATGGGAGAATATAGGAGCCAGGAGTATTTTATATAGAGCCAGAGGATCTCTCAGGTATTTCTCGGTACATGAATCACATTTAGACGACAGTTGGACTACCTGCAGTTGGAGGTTTGATTGTGTACTTGCA